GATTTTAACACCAGGACAGTCAGGAGGTGTAATTCCCTTAGTACCTATATTTGCAGGATTGTCAGCACTTGGTAGTTTGATGTCTGGAGGTGCTAGTGTGTATAATGCGGTTCAAAATTCAAAAAGAAAAAAAGGCAATGGTTTGAAATCAAACAAGAATAGGTTGAGAATAAAAAACTGATGATCACGCTACCTGACAGACCGCTTTCGTCCCAAGATATTATAAAATATGTTGAAAAGTTTAAAATCAATCATTTCCGTGGAGTCTTTTCACGTGATAACTTACCTAAACAACCGCATACGATTGAATGTGGTATATTAAACTTAGATATATCTTCAGGCGACGGAAGTCATTGGGTAGCGTTTTATAAAAATAAGGACAAAGTTGTATATTTTGATAGTTTTGGTGATTTACCACCACCAATTGAATTACAACATTATTTCAGACAGTTCAAAATAGTATACAACTATTCTAACTATCAAGATTTCAATACGTTCAACTGTGGGCATTTATGTCTTGAATTTTTACAATGCATGAATCTATTACATTAAGTTTGACTGGAAATTCAACTGTATTATCTGTAAATTATTTTCCACCTATAAACCTTTACGATGACTCAGAAATAGCTTTGTTATGTTTACAGTCATTTAATTCATTCCCAAATATTAATGAAAATAATAATAAATTTTCTATACAAGTAGTTGATAATGAAAACAATAATAATCCTATGATATGTTTTATTACATTGGAAGAGGGTTGTTATGAAATTGAAGATATTAAGGATCGAGTTAAGAAGCAAATAGTTGCCTATAATAGTAAAAACTTAACCAATTTAACATTCGACATTACGGTTGATCCTGATGATTTCAGATCGTATATAAAATGTAATGGGATACTACACTTTGAATATCCATTTAGTATAGCACCTGTATTCGGTTTTGAAAAACGAGTATATAATCCATACAACATTCTTCGATCGGAAAAAGCTGTAAATTTAAACACAATTAATTCTATAAAAGTAATGTGTAATATAGCTCAAGGATCATTCAGCAACCATCTTCAGAGTCATTCGATTTATGAGTTTTTCCCGAGTGGAAAGACAGGGTCGAAAGTAATTCAGGCACCGCCAAATTTAATATATTACAAATTGAATAAAACAAATATTGATTCGATAACCGTTCAGTTAGTTGATCAAGATCATAATCCGATTGATAATTTTGGTGAGGCATTGACAATCGTGTTACATATTAAACGTTACGGGTCTTGAGATGGGGTTGAAATTCAATATAAACCCGCTACTTCGGATCAGCACAACTAGTCATAAGACTAAAGTGCTATCAGCAACATCAAATAAAGTAAAAAAATTAACGGTACAGAATAAAAAAATTTTACAAGCTTTGGGTTATCAATTAAAGCAGAATGCCTGAAAGTGATATTTTAGACATAACGTCACAGTACGAAACGGATTCTAAAATTACGAAAATTGAATATCATTCATACACACCGTATACTACATCATTTAATAATAATGATGAAATACGTATATCAATCCAGCAAACTGATGTCTACCCATATCTACACGAAAGCTTTATTTTTTTGGAAGGAACAATTACTGATGCTACCAAAGTGAAACTATCTAATAACGGTTACTCTTTCCTCTTCGAACAAATACGATTGGAAATCAATGGGATAGAAGTAGATAGCACACGTGTTCTTGGAATCACTAGCTCGTTGAAAGGTTACTTATCCTGTACACCAGACAACTATAATTGTTATGAAAATTCTGGTTGGAATTTTAAAAACGCAACGCAATCGGAAAATGAGAAAGGTGAATTTAGTGCTTGCATTCCATTGAAATATTGGTTAGGTTTGTTTGAAGACTATAAAAGAATATTGGTGAATTCTAGATTAGAATTAATATTAACTCGAAGTCATAGCGATTTAAATGCTTTAAGTTGTAAAACTGGTGCAACTGTTACTGAAGGTAAAGTCGTTTTAAACAAAATAGTCTGGAAGGTCCCACATATCAATGTTGACGATGAAGAAAGGTTAAAATTATTGAAACTTATAGAAAAAGAAAAAAGTCTATTTATCCCTTTTAGATCTTTTGAAACTTTTGAATATCCTGAACTCGGAACCACTAAAAAAGTTGTATGGAATTTGAAAACTGCTTCAAAATTAGAAAAACCACGATTTATCATAATTGGATTACAAAAAGGACGCAAAAATGTGTTAACGAAAGATTGTAGTATATTTGACCATTGTAATTTAACAAACATTAAAGTATTTCTGAACTCTATAGCTTATCCATACGATAATTTGAATTTAGATTTTACTAAAAATAATTTCACCTTATTATATAATATGTATACATCGTTTCAAGAATCGTACTATGAAAAAAGTATTCGTAACCCGATATTGAGTCCTTCTACTTTTCTGACAAACGCTCCAATTATAGTCATCGATACTTCGAAACAGAACGATTCAGCCACAGCCTCAGCAGTGGATGTTCAATTAGAAATTGAAGCTTCAGATTCCCTTACAGGTGTAACTGCTTATTGTTTATTAATTCATGATCGTATTGTAGAATATGTACCTTTTACTAGAGAAGTAAGAAAATTAGTGTAAATAATAAATCAAAATTGTATATATTTAATATTTGCTGTAAAATACTATTAACTGATTAAAAAATAAATATAAGAAAAAAAAATGTTTTTATTTATTTCAGAAAATTATATTAAAAACTGTTTTGAATTTTCTCTAGAAAATGTTAGGGAGATTGGTTACACTGTAAGGCATACATTCCTACTTGAAATTTTTTCCCTGTAAAATTTAACTCAGAAGCCCCAACCCACCTTTTTAGAATTTTTACCTATACGGTGATCGAATGTGCTGTAAGGGGAACTTTCCTCCTTGAACTTTTTTCATCTCCCTGTAAAAAGTGACTCAGAAGCCCCAACCCACCTTTTTAGAATTTTTACCTATACGGTGATCGAATGTGCTGCAAGGGGGACTTTCCTCCTTGAACTTTTTTTTTTCCCTGTAAAAAGTGACTCAGAAGCCCCAAATTAATACTACTAAAGTCGTTAATATTATGTAATAATACAATTATTTTGAAGATAAAGTTGAAAGGGGGCCCACTAAGTGTATGGTGTTTCGGGGCCCAACTGATCCTTAATCCGGACTTGGGCAGTTGGGCACATGCCTCTGAAATTACCGTTCACAACGTCACTGTGTGTGTATAGTGTAGGTATATTATATCGGTGAGTAAATACATCAAACACATGGCTTTTTACTTTAAAAATTGATTTATATTATAACCTTCCATTATTAATTATTACACTACAGTTTTAACTTTTAACTATATTTTTACACTTTTATAGTGTACATTAAGTTACACCAAAAACGAAAATCGATTTTTTGGAAAACCGATTTTGCGTAAAAATTCCCGTTTTTCCTTAATTGTTATTTTGTTTTTCCCGGCGCTTTTGAAAACTACTGGGAAATTTAAATTTTGACCTCCCCAATGCACCAACGATATTCACTTTCCAATCGAACAAGATACTGAAGTTGAAAATCGAAGCATTATTTCGACTACTTATCGTGTACACAGACACAAAAAAAATATAAAAATAAAAAAAAAAACACACATCATTGTAAAATCAATACATTCATCGTTTCACTCAGAATCAAAAAATTAAATTTCGTTATATCTAAGCGTTGTAGGTACGTATGTGCGCAAAACACCGAAAATCGTGAACTTCGTAAGGCTACACCATAAAAACTAATTATTTCTGGCATTTAATGTAAGCACCGTCGTTCTTAACTGGTTTAATGCATAGATGTCGGACAAACAAATTTAAAAATTGTGGGTGCTAAACTAGATTTAGAACACTAAATTGAACTACCCCCCCCCCCATCCAAAATGTCTAAGCACGCCACTGATGTATCATACTATATTACTATCATCTATCTGTATCAGATTATTATTAACCATAGTATCTATATCCGTGTTTCGCGAAGTAATTCATATCTATTTTTAAAGTATGATTTCCAATATTTTGTTTATTTTTGTTATTATGATGAACATGAATAGACATGCATGAACAATATATTATAATAACAGTACAAGGGGGGTATTAAACTAAGGTTAAGAAAAAATAATAATAGTATGACAAACAAATTCACGATTATCATAAACGTCAAGAGTGCAAGACAGAAGACACGTCGTGTAGTATTTTCAATTTTGTACTTGACTCGTTTATAACTTGTTCTTAACTTTTTTATAACTTAGTAAGACTCATAAGTTGTATACCTATTTGTATTTACTTGTAAGTTATTGAAGTGGCATTTAAAATAACATTCATCAATCAATTAAAGTCTTAATACTCATTTTCACAATGAATCCATATATTCCTACTGAAGTAGGTACAAATTACTATTTTAGATGTATTCGAGCTGCAGAACATTATTGTTGGCCTACAGCAGAAGCTTCAATGCGTCATGCTCGAAAAAAAATTGTGCCTGCTTTACCAATCAGCATTAATGCATTGGCAGATTATCTTGATCAAAACCCAGAGCGTTACACTTGTTGTGAACAAGCGTTTTATCAAGATCGAACTGTAGATAATGATGGTAAAACAACAATTATATTTGGATGTACATCACTTATCAGTGATGTTGTAAGTCAAGGAGGAAACGAAGTTCATGCTGATGCAACTTTTAAAGTTACATCAGCCACGCCACAGTCTCGACAACGTTTTATTCTGCACATAATTATTGTTCAAAATCATGTGAGTTTTAGTTATAGGTAATTGATTTGTATTTTAACTTTATGTAGGGGAAATAAATATGAATACCTAATTATAAAAATATTTAATTATTATTTCAGTAAATACCCATAATCTACGCATTGATGGAGCCCAAGACGGAAGCAGCATACACTTTATTGCTTACAAAATGTAAAGCTTTATTTCCTTCCATAATACCTAATTGTGTGATGACAGATATTGAGGCAGCTTTGCAAAATGCATTTTTAACTGTTTACCCTGAAACTGTTGCACATGGTTGCTGGTTTCACTATGTCCAGGTACTTGATAAATAATGTTTATTTGTATATATAAATATAGGTATGTGTGTATAATTACTATTAGATTGTGAGAGTAGCAATTAATGAATTGATTTTACAATGTATTTTTTTTTTTCTGTGTCAGAAGGCTGTTTCAGGCAGAAAATGCTGTTATGATATTTTGTAAGAGGTTTCTTGCAAATTGAATCTATTTGGTACTTTTGGGAGGTTCAACTATTGAACATTTCACTTTTTAAATTAATCGGGAAAAAAAATACAAATAATTTTAATTGTAATATTAAAATATATAATAATTGTTTGTTAATATGGGTTACCAAAAAGTTAGACTGTCTTTGCTTAGAAACGTTTTTCATTGTATCAATGATTTATTATTGAATTCAAATTTAACACTTCATCCATTTATATTACCTACTTAATAACAATATAGATTCAACTTTTAATTTACAGCAGATTACCTACTTTTTAACTTATAATTTATGTATTGAAATGGAATAAAAGAGTAAACATTTATATTTACATATTATGTATTTCAGTATTTTCCATTCTTCTAGATTAGGGCTCCTCCTTCATAAAAATAAATATAATATGTATTGTTTAATACTCCAGGGCCAGTATTATCATCTCCAATTAAATTTAATGGACACTTAATCGGTGGAATTCTGCCCGTAATAATATCTGTTATCAGCTGGTTAGCTTAAATCAGAGAATAACCGAAGATTGTAAAACTATTATTGTATACTTTCATGTTTAAATTTACTATTTTCTAGGCATTAATAAAAAATGTTAAAAGACTGGGTCTAGCACAATACGTGAAGGATAACGTACAAGCCCAGATCTGTTTAAAAATGTGCGCTGCTTTAGCATTATTGCTGGTGAACAAAATTGACGAAGGTTTTCAATTAATACGTCGCCATGCCATAGATAATAATGTTAGATTTGCTATATTTTTTAACTATTATTCAAAGTATGTGAAATTCCTTGGGGATATATTTTTTTTTAAATATGTAATAATGTAATATTATGAAATCGACTATCTTTAATTTAAGCTATTGGCTACGGAAGCTATTGGGTACCTGAAGTTTTTTCTGTTTATGGTTTACCTAGAAGAACCAACAACAATGTTGAATGCTTTCATTCCCAATTGAAGGAAAAATTCCAAATCCTTCATCCTAATTTATGGACGTTTTTAGGTAATTAACTATCACTATATTCTAATTTTATAAAATCATATGTGTATTTGGTAAATTATTATTAAATATAGATGTACCCTGGTAAATATATTTCCATCAAAGCTAATTTTATATTTCTTATAGAACACTTGAAAAATTTGAGCAGCAAGTACCATGTGACTGTAAGACAACTAGCACTAGGACAGAGAATATCTCGTGCTGTTAAAATTAAATATTTACTAAACTCTGGAAGAATTTTAAAATCTACTCAACAATTGGACCTTGGGCATATTACATTAAAAGAATTTTTACTACAATGCTCACACAGTGCAGAACGTTATATCCGTGAAGAAATGAACTGGCACATAAATGTAGAACAAGGTAACCCATAAGTAATAAAATTGAAACCAATTTTTATAAAAAAAAATGATACATGTTTTGAACACAGGTGTAATAGAAGAGAATGAAGATGCTAGAGCTGTAAGAGTAGAAGGTAATGTTTTTTTTTTTTTTAAGTATACCTACTTATTAAATTTTGAACCTAATTAAATGTTTTTTTTTTTAATTGTGTTAAAACAGATCATCAACCAGAGCTTCCTGTAATCATAGTACTTCCTGAAAACCCTGAGCCAGAAGAAGTGCATGAATGTAAGATACCTGAAAAAAATTATTTTCCATATTTTTGATACTGTAACTTATATACTCTATTAGGGGATGAAAGGGATTTTTTTATTCCCGAAGATTTGGAGTTAGTTAGATGGCAGGAAGAATACGGAAATGATGAATATCCAGATAATATTCCTTATGTCCAAATTGATCAAACTCTTCAAGTGAATCTTCATAATGAAGAAACAATTTGTGTTGTGTGCAGGGATGGTGCTAGGTCTCATGCATCTGTACCTTGTGGACACAGAGTATTGTGCGCAGATTGCGCAGACCAACTACGTACTAATCGATGTCCAATTTGTAATAGAGAGTCCACCGGTGTCATTCGCGTTTGGCAATAGTATTTTTTTTTTTTTTTTTTTTATTTTATTAAACCTTCAACTTTAAATTTATACTTAATAAATTTTGTTTTTGGACTTCATATTTTATTACAATTATTACCTAGTTTTAGTATTGATAATTATGGTTATAGTTGGTTTGAAAATTACATACCTACTAAATAGGAAACTAACGATTAGAATAAATTATGTAACAGATCAAGATAGTATCATTGAATATAGAGTTTATCAAGGAAGTGTTCTGTGTCCTATTTTGATTATATTCTATAGGTATCTATTAAATATTAATTTTGTCAGTGATTTATAGATGTTGATGGATTAGTTGTTTTATATCCTGATGTAACCGACTTGCTTTTCTCTGAATAAGTCATGTGAAGTGGCTCGTTATAAAGCGACTGTCGGTGTAAACTACAAAGTTTATCTATACCTAAATTTGACTACTTAAGTACTAAATACAAATGAAATATTGTTTGATTCTTCTTTAAAACTTCTACATATTATAAATACTTTTAAATAACCTAATAACAGTGTTTAAAACTTCAATATAGGTACCTAAATCAAATCCATCTTAAAAAAAAAATTGTAATAAATAAAACAATAACTATAAAATCATAATAGGTAATAACTAATAATATAATATACTTAGGAAAAACTTATTTGCTACTTCATAAAAGTTTTCCATTTTTTTTTTTGTTTCAATAATTTATCTGATTTTGGACATAATTGTAAACCAGATTCATCAAACTTAATTACCCTGTGGGCTGTGGCTATCATTTGATATGTCTAAACTAAAAATTGAATGCTCTGTTACAGCTGCTCTAACTTTTGAAATAACCTCAGTATGCATGTTTGCTATATTTTTGTGTCTATTTACAAATAACTTAAACCATTTATTCTAGACTGATTGTTTCTGAATGGATTATTTATTTGTAAAACTTTTAACAACTTTTGTATCGAGTCTTTAACATTTTCTGGCTGTACAGGGAAACGTTAAGCCTGTGTTAATGTAGTTTGAGGACCCATTATCATAGGCGCACATTGGGTGTGAATTTAGGGGGTGCTGGAATAATTTATGGTTCACATATCCGTGGGAGGCTTTGCCCCCCACACCCCCCTAAATCCTAATATTTCTGAATTGCATTAGATTTAATTTGTATAGTGTATACAATAATATATAAAGTGCAATGTATCAAATAGTCTGTATGATTGTACAGAGCACGCTATTTACACCCACATGTGTTGTCTCCGTATTACAAATGTAGGTACAACATAGGCAAAACTGTTTTGCACGGGTATAAAAAACATTCAGGCTGTACTCTAAGCTAAGAAACTAAATGTTCACACTATAAAAATTTACTGTGTAACTTTGTTTTTATATTTCATAAAATTTGAAAACAATATATTAGGAGCCTTCTATTATATTTTTAAGCTTTTATACCCAACAAATAAAATTTTATTGATACTTATAGAAAAAAATACTAAAAAAAATGGAAACTAAAAATTCCATAAAAACCTCAAAATAACTCAAAATATTTAGAAAATTGTATCATGCATAGAAAATGGAAATATAAATAACCAGTAAGATAATATAATTTTCTATAATGATATGATATAATATGATTGCTACATACTGTTTAATGTTTTGACAAAAACTGAAACACTGAAACATGCATTCACACAATACTGTTTTAATCGTGAATTCGTAAACAGTTGTCAATATTTGTAATAAAAAGAAAAATTCCGAACCAATAAACCACGATAGTTTATAAATGATTGGCGAAATACCGAAATAAACTGAGGGTGCTAGTTTGAAGCTTGGGGGTGCTAAGAACCCCCAAGCACCCCCTATGTGCGCCTATGCCCATTATACGACATTTTATAAGAGGTCAATTCGCTCAAATTTTTAAACTAACGGGAAATAAACGTGTTTTGCCGAGCGTAAAATTTGCTATGTTACGCACTTGTAAGACAGAGAAAACAAATGTAACTGTAACGGCACCTAAAGCGGTGAACCACGATTGCGCCCAGCTTACCTTTTTCCATTCAAAAAACGCAATACGATTGCGCTCGACCAATTAGCACTATCGCGCCAGTCTATAACCTTTTTTACCTGCATAAAACGCAACACGATTGCGCTTTAATGTATATATATGTGTTTGTCCCGTATATGTATATGTTATATAACAATTTTCTAGTACACTATTTAAAAATACAGTCGGACTTGGTTTTCCTTGGACTTGATTTCCCCATATGTACAACCGATAAAAAAATATTTAATTAGACATTTTTAATTAAAAAGAAATATCTATGCTAGAGCTACTATTAAAGTATTATTATTAAAAAAAAAAAAAAATTGTAACTCAAAATTTTTAACCAAGCCAACAATTTAATTTTGTTGTCAGTCCTAAGCCTGTAAAATTGGGAAGGAAAATTATTAAGAGCGCAATCGTGTTGCGTTTTATGCAGGTAAAAAAAGTTATAGACGGGCGCAATATTGCTAATTGGTCGAGCGCAATCGTATTGCGTTTTTTGAATGGACATAGGTAAGCCGGGCGCAATCGTATTACACCCCACCTAAAGGTATCCTATATAAGCTTACCTATATAAATTATAACGCCCCTATTATTTTATTACCTTTAAATAGGTGCCTGTGTCCCGTATTGGTATGCCTATTCTTATAATTAGGGAGCGGATGTTTATGCATTTATCATATTTTTTTATAATATCTAAATCAATGCGAAGTAAGATATAAATTTGTTTCATCACCTAAAGAATTCAAATTTACCAATTTAATTTTGCATATTGGTCCGATTTTTACTTGATTGATCATATTTTTATATTCATCATGCTTTTAGTGCATATTTGAGGTTTTTCGTAATATACTAATATATTATGACTTATGAGGGATGGGCCGATACCTCTTTTTACCGATATCCGATATATGCAACCGATAAAAAACCGATACCCGATATATTTGAAAACAAACATTTTCAGCATAAACAATGAACCGATATTAAAAGATCACCGATACTATTATCATTTTTTATTTAACTATTACAATTTTTAATCAATAGTATTATGCTGATAGATTTGGTTTTTTTTTTGGTATTGGTTCAAATATCGGTTTAAAAAAAAAAAAAACTGATACCGATAAACCCGATACCACCAATATCGAGTATAGGTTTTAATATCGGCCCATCCCTAAATTTATTATTTATTATTAACGGACTCGACTGGCGTAATTAATAGTTCAAAATTTTCCGACGGGGCAGCGGCGGAAATAGCCGATTTCCATCCGTGGTGGCGGGAAGTGTGGGGTTCTTCTAAAAATGTCTAGACAAGAAGAACTAACTACATCAGACCTACCATATTTCAAATATGCTCCTTTCTCATCTACTTAAGATTCAAAATGTTGCTATCGGATAACAGAAGAATATTTACTTTTAATAATTAAATAAAAACGTTGATTATCCAGTGCAATGTCCAATTACTATTAGGTATGTTTTAATCAAAGTTTTAGGTTTATTTTTGAGTATGTATATTGTATACGGTATACGTAAATATGTTAGATTTTATTGTATACAATAAATATTATCAAAATGTTCAGTATATTCAAATTAAAAAAAGGTGCTCTGCTTTACAATAGGTTACAAGTGGGTCACTATATAATGGATGGTATTAAATTTGAATTCAATGATATAATATCATTGTATAAGAAAAACGATTCTGAGCTTAGACAGTATAAGACGGGTAAAAGACATATTATATACTTATAAATTCCAAATTAATCATATCACAATATCCATTAGGTACTTATAACGCGTAATACATCGACAAAAAACCCTGATACTATTATATATATAATAGTGTACTTTAGAAGTTTCAAGTACCCACGAATAATTTATACAATCACAACAAAATAAGTAAATAACTTTTTCTAGGTTTTTTATTATGTAATTTCGTCCAAATTTGAACTTAAAATGACTATAAAAGTAAACTGTGCTTCTGTACTTTTTAGATTTTTTGGTAACAGAATTAACTACTTACGTGGAATTTTGTTTTAAATTTTCAATTCTTAGATATAAAATTTGAACATTTATAAATTTTTAACTACAAAATAATTATTCAATTTTAAATTTGATAAATTTTGTCTTTAAATACTTAAAAAAAAATTGTGCAATGTATTTTAAATATTTTTCAACTGATATTGTAACAATATATCAGGAGTTGTATTAAATTTTTACAGTTTTTGGCCTAACAGATAAAACTTTATTGATATTTATAGAAAAAAAAACTAAAAAAAAGCCGGCCAAGTGCGAGTCGGACTCGCGCACGAAGGGTTCCGTACCATTATCTAAAATTATGTCTGTTGTCGTTTGCGGGGTGGTACAATTCTGTATTGAAATTTATAAAACGAATCTTTGTATACGACGTCACTCATGCCAACCATTTATTAACAATACGACGTCACTCGTGGTAACTATTTATAAACAAAAATTTCCATCTGAAATATCAAAATTCCCGTTTTAGCACCCCCCGGGGTTGCTCCTATCCCTTTTTTTAGTATTTGTTGTTATAGCATTCACGGAAATACATAATCTGTGAAAATTTCAACTTTCTAACTTTCATGGTTCATGAGATACAGCCTGGCGACAGACGGACAGACGGACGGACAGCCGAGCGAAAGTAATAGGCTTCCGTAGGGAAACGTACGGAACCCTAAAAATTGAAAACTGAAAATGTTCGTCAACTGCTCAAAAAGAGTCAAAATATTTTCAAAATTATATGGTGTATAGGAAATGCTAATATAAACATTCAGTGAAATTTTCATGTAGCTTATTCGTTTTTTAATTACAACAAAAGAAAGAAATCGCTACATGAGAAAACGAGTGAATATCCAATGTCGTTTTATGACATGTTATATGAAATTCAAAAGCTCATAAAAATCAAATTTAACTTTCTTATAGACATTTTTTTTTTGATAATGGTAGATAATCTTATAA